AAATATAACATGATACAACATGTAGGTTCTGATATGTTGTATTTTATATATCTATGGAATGTTAATCGGTTAGAAACTGGAATGCACACGTAACCGATCCAATCATGTCTTTTATCATCTTGCGCACGACAAGCGCATCCCGGATCGATCCTGACATCTCTCGCGCACGCGCAGCTCGAGCGTCTCCGAGGGACGGTCCAGCATGCACTCAGGGGAGCTCCGAAGGAAGCCTTCGATGCGGTGAAGACTCCGGCGGTCACGGTCACGCCGGTCACGCCGGTCACGCTACATTCGCCCAAAAAAACAAAAATATAGCTATGGTTGACAGATGGCCCAGTTGGTTCGATGATTTACCCAGGAAAAGTCCGAACTTTCCAATGTACACTGTTACCCTCTGGTTCTTTGTTACAGTTCGCCATGGTATAGATGGCCCATAGAAATAGATGGTTTACCGAACTTAACCATGGTGATTTTCCACGGCTATGTTAAATAACCAGATGGTACACTACCAAAGGGTATATAGTGACCAAAGATCATGATTTTCACCAACAAAACATGGGAGTATTCACAAAGATGGGGATTGAGCTGCGGATGTAATGAGGAGATTCAGCAACAAAGTGCGAGCTCAAAACTACCAAATAGTGGGATATTCAGCACCAATAACTGTAATTCATTCGCCAGCAAAGGTGAGGAACCACAATATCATGATGGTTGGATGATCATGGTTGTGCGAACTGCTTTGATGGGTGTTTACGTGGTGCTCACTGGAAGGAGCCCATGGTGAAGAGAAAGTATGTTCAAACCTACTTTGCCTTGTTCGGATGAGAGGTTGGGCAAATCATATTCCCAAAACAGAAAGAAACCATTTGGAATAGATATCGTCATTCGGTTTTCATCATTTGGAATATTATCATTTCAATCAGAATCAAGCCTTTCTATTTTGTTTTCGCTTCTTGACCATCATAAGTCTAGTGAGGTGTTCCAGTGAGACAAAGAAGAACTCACCTTCCAAAGCCTTCTCTTTGGGTTCTATCGTGAAATCCTATGTACTTGGGGCTGCAGTTCTAGCTATTTATAAGTGGAAATATAACGATGTTGATAAAGGTTTTATCCCAACTTTGGGGGGTTATTGCCATGGTTAAACAGTTATTATATCTATTAATAGCCCCAACTCCACCTCAAGTATGCATCCTCAAACTTAGGTTTGGCCAATTGCTGTTAACTGGGACACAACTCCCTTGTCATTGCAATGAACCCAAAAGATATCTGCCACTGACCAGTTGGTATGTATCACAATCAGACTGGTTTTCTGCCAAAAGATATCTACCAGATGACCATACATTAACCATATATTAACCACTATTAACCAACATTCATCTTGTTTTAATCATTCCAAATCACCAGAAAAAGACAAAACAACGCCCGAGCGTCCGCAGGTCTTCGAGGTCCAATCAGATTCGAGCGACCACCACCTGAAACAAGAGTGCAATCATAGGGGATTTGTGTTGATGTTGTGGAATATGTATATATATATATATATTATATATACATATATTAAATTATAGTAATAATACCAAAATAGACGATATATTAAATTATAGTAACATTACCAAAATAGACGATATGTATATATATATATATATAAGCGTATCATATTATAAATAAATATATATATATATTGAATATATATATATATATAAATTATATATATATATATATATTATGTGCAGTAAAACAAATATAAATACACACGTGGACTTAGTCAATCTATTGTGGACATGGCCATGGCTATGATATGCGCCACAGGAGCTCTGCGCCTTTCATTGGGGATCATGGTGATAATCCCAATCAAATTTAGGGGGCCCGATTTCGTGCAAACCATGACACAACCAGAATATATATCTGGTTTATTAATGTGCTTATAATAGTGATTAATAGTGGTTAATAATGGTTATTAGTGATGATTACCTGATCTGATCTGATGAATAATATATCTGGTTGGTAGTTTTAACCACCATGAAAAATATGAAAGTCAGTTGGGAAGGATTATTCCCATATATTATGGAAAATAACAAATGTTTGAAACCACCAACCAGATATATACTCGAAAATGAGACGACTGGGACAACACATTGGGGAAACAAACTAATATGAACATATGGCTTTAAAAAAATTAAACATCTTGGCATCTGGGAAACTCATGGTTGAACATATTAGATAAAACAAATCGGTGCTTCTCGGGTCTGATGGACAAACACTGGGAATTCAGATCAATTGAGATCAATTTTTCAGCATCGGCATCAATGAGCTGTGGTGCATCAATCAGCTGTGAAAAACTCCATGACTGAAGAGTGTGGATGGGAGACGAATCATTGCTGGTTATCTGGCTATTCCATGCTGCTTTGGCCCTACGCCAAAAAAACAACAGTCAGTTCGCTACTCACTCATCCCGGCTAAATGACTGGCGACTAATTCCAAGCAAAAAATATATATACCATCTGGTTATTTAACATAGCCATGGAAAATCACCATGGTTAAGTTCGGTAAACCATCTATTTCTATGGGCCATCTATACCATGGCGAACTGTAACAAATAACCAGAGGGTATATGGTTTGCACACACACTGGTGACCCACCTGAAAATCGTGAGGTTCCCCTGGCTGATCGAGAAAATTTCTGGCTGAGATTGAGCAGATCAGTACATGCTCCAACAAACATTGCCCCTCCCCCAAGAAAAACAAAATAATTACCATCTGGTAATCAAACGTGGCCATGGAGAATGGGCCGATTTATAGATGGTTCTTCCATTCAAACCTCTACATCGGAATTATCGCCACCGGATGACACCGGAGGCTGTCCCACTTCCATCGCCTCCATTGAAGCTCCCAGCTCTGGAAGACGCAATGGCCAGCACTAGGGCCAGGCGTCCAGGTCACTTTGAGCATGTCACCACCTCGGAGACAAACTACGGACGTCGAAAAATCGCCGTTACTTGGTGGTCGGTTTTGGTTTACAGCACTTGCAAGTAACTTGTAACCTAGTTGTAAGGTAGTTACAACCCTAGTGTATCTAAGCTAAGTAAACTAAGTTTGTATCTTATTTTACGGTAGTTGTAAGTAGTTACCAAAGATAAACTAGATGGTAAGTTTTTTTAAAGTTATTTTGTTTTGAGTTAACAAAAAACAACTTAAATAACTTATAAGTAACTTAGGAAACTTAACTTTTTTGGATTTTTAAAGCTATTATTTTTTGTGTTGGAATAAAAACATATAAAAAAACAAGGTTTGGGTTGGAAACGAATTAAAACCACATTTCTTTATTTTTTGATATTTTTGTCGGAAGGCGGCTCTATGAGAAGCCTATCGGGAAAAGTTTTGTGATTCTGAGTTTTTTTGTTGATATCTCAGTGTGGGTGCCCCGCGGGGCCGCTAAGTGATTTCTGCCGCTTGCCCCGCTTGCCCCGCTTGCTCCCCTTCTAGGGAAAATAAGTGAATCTTCCTCCTTGCCCCGCTTGCCCTACTTGCAAGCCGAGGGAAGATCGGTGGTTCTTCCCGCTTGCCCCGCTTGCCCCGCTTGCCCCGCTTGCCCCGCTTGCCCCGCTTGCCCCGCTTGCCCCGCTTGCCCTGCTTGCTTTGGTTTCACCACACAGCAGTATGAAAAAGGAATAGAGGTGGTAACGTGAATGGAATGTTTGGGCGAGTGGGGCGAGTGGGGCGAGTGGGGCGAGTGGGGCGAGTGGGGCGAGGGGGCGAGTGGGGCGAGTGGGGCGAGTGGGGCGAGTGGGGCGAGTGAGGCGAGTGGGGCGAGTGGAGCGCGAGGGGGGCGAGTGGGGCGAGTGGAGCGGCCGACGGGGATTAAGTGGCGACTCCAAACACCGTGGCATCAATACCAGATTGGATTCTGCAAGTTCCCTTTGTAGAAGACGTGTGCAAGATCTCCTTGACAGGTTCTTTCTAGACGCTGCTGTGCAAGATCCTTTTGTACAAGGTCTGTATGAGACCAAACAAAGATCGACTATGTTTAAACATGTCCTAGAAAAATTGCGTTGAACATTACATGACACCAATGTGACATTAAGCATCAAGCATCACCGGAAGCAACCTCCAGCCATTCCGGGAATGCGCACCGACGCGCAGTGCACGTGCCCCGCGGGACCACAGACCCGATGGTCACAGTGAGGAGTGGACTATTGTGCCATCTCTATTTGATTGCGTACCAACATCACGCATGCTGGCATCAGCATCTGCTGAATCCCTAAGGTAGAAGCCATTGTCATGGTGCCACTTAGCATCGGCACCTGCAGACGCAGGAGTCAGCGACATGGTCGGTGTGGACAGGACTCCCGTGAGTCTTCTTTCCCCCATGAAGCAGAAAAATTATATCGCAGTCGGAAAGGATGGTAGAAAACAGAAATGGTAGAAAACAGAATAAACAGGTGCAAGTTTCAATTCTTTCTTGGACTTGATCAGGAACAAATAAAACATGTGTCTTGCTTCAACATCTCGAACGGCTATGTTCAGCGAACAGTGGCTTCATATGCGCCGCACAAACTATTTTGGAGCCGCGGTGTTGGCTGTCCGCTTTGCCTCAAAAAGAATAGATTGGGCCTTTGTCAATCTCATGCCACCAGCGCACACGATTGAACACTAGAAGGCCAAGCAGACTGTTTTGAATGTGGCTTTGGACACCATGATGAACCACTATGCAAGATCTTCACACCACAATGTCTTGTCATGAAAATGGGTGGGTTGATTGAAATTGACGCACAATATGTTGCAGCCACCATACAGTCTTGATTGAAAGCATTCACCTCGTAGGGTCAGGAACACGCTCGGGCTGGAAAGAAAGCAGAGCTTAATTTCGAGGAATCGCACCATTATTGACGCGTATCTTTGGAAACAAGACTTATATACAACAAGTGCTTTGGAGCACATTGTCACTCTTTTTTTGGGCTGACAGTTTAGACATGGGACCGTGCAAGACCTCGTATTTCTGGAATCCTACTTGAAATCATTGGCACTCAGTTGAAGCTTGGCAATCATGTCTTGAGCTTCCGAATTAGTCAAAAGGCCCTCCCAGGCACATGTCTGGTAGTACAGGACAGCGTGGCCACCTGGCGGGCCTCGTGGCTCGCTCTTTAGCGTGGCCTCCTTGCTCTTGGCGCTTTTCTTGTCCTTAAGTTTGGGCGCCTGTTCTTCCACTTCCTTCTTGTCAACCTCTTGCAAGATGCCAACTTTCAAGAGGTCTTTGACTGCTGCCAAGACGAACTTTGCTGGTTTTTCCTCTTTCTCCTTCTGAAAGTGGTACTTCAGAACAGAGCGAATGTGCGTAGTGGAGGTTGGACCAGCGCATCGAGGATTGGACAGAATGACTCGCTGCAATTTCACCTTGGCATCCAAATCTGCAAGTCCTGGGGGCTTGACATCTGGCACTGCTTTGGGGCCTACCAAGGCTTGGACTTGCTTGGAGCGATAGAAGGCAAACCACACGCACATTTGGCGACGCCAGATATGCAAGGCATGTCCCAAATCGAAGATGGTCATCTCAACGGCAAACTCATCTATGATCCTATCAAGGGCCAACGCGCTCGGGCCTCAGAATACTGCCTGCAACGCATGGCTGCATTAGCGTACCGAGCCACATCTGTGTCAGCATAGCGTAGCTTCTGTTAGATTGGTTCCTCTACATTCTCGTGATTCTCGTGATTCTCGTGAAAGAAGTCGGAGATTCCCTGCAAAGCCTTCCTGAGCACGGGCAAGGCGAACTTGTCAAAATAGTGGTCTTTGTCCTGGTTGCTTGCCACGCGCCCCATCCAACCAAAGAAGTCAATCAGGAACTCTTTGCTGGACTGGCTCTGCTGATCAGGGTCACTTGTCACTGGCCTTGTTTGCCACGTCGCATGGATTCTCTTGCAAAACATGCTTGCAGTCGGCTGGAGCACATACTCACAAAGCGACACCTGTCCATACACTTGGTGAACGAAGGTGTAATGAGTCAGCGCCGTGGCACCATCTCCAGTGACTGTCTTGTCATCTTCGCAGTTCAGCCAAGTGCACATCTTTTCTTTGTTGCCGTAATGCAGACCTGAGTGTCGGGTCTCCCTCCCGGATGTCATGGCATATTGTTGTGGCAATCTCATCCGAAATGATGCCAGCTCGGGCATATTCTTGATAGAAGCACGAAGACCCTTGATGGTGGCATCCGTGCATGTGGCGCCACCTGCCTTGATGACAGCAGGGACATCTGCATGGGAAAGAAGCTTTTTGCAGGTAAAATCCTTCAAATAACTCTTGCGCATGCTGGGGTCACCTGCGCAAACAATCTGGACTACGCAGCCACGTCGGTGCTCCTCATCAGGCTGCAATCGAAGCCGCGTGCCTGCATGGATGCTCCATCCAACCAATGTTGCTGAGGATCGGCGCCATGAATGTCTCAGGCTCACAACCTTCCTTGCGGGCAATGGTTCTCAAGCTGACTTCGAAAGGCACGGGCAGCACTTCTCGAGTTCTGAAGGCAAAGTCTGATGCCACAGCGCGGTGGTCCCTGGGGTCTTTCAAGGCTGCATTCAGAACGGTTTGATAAGAAGCCTCTGGGCTTCCAAGCCCTTGATATGTGCTCTTGGTGTGAAGCAACGAAAGGCTTTGTGCTTCATCCCTGCAAGCCAAGTACTCCGACATGGCGTCGTGCATAGGATCCTTCACCGTGGTAGATGCCTTGCTGGTCCGACTCAGGTCGTCGTAGATGTCAATCCCAAAGCTTGGAATGGACAAGCGGGCTGCTTCACTTCCACCCTGTGTGAAGGGAGGGCTTTCTGGGCTTGGGGACCTTTGGGTGGGCGGCACTGGGCTGCGTTGTCCTGCTGGCGGGCTTGCGTTGGTTGCTAACTTCTTGCCCGCTGGGCCCCCACCCGCACGGACAGGCGAAGCTGCCTCTTCTCTGGTCTTTCTTTTTACCCCCTCAGCCACAGCCTCTGCTTCCATTGCTGCCTCAATCTCCATCTCTTGCAAAGCGGCATCATCAGCCTCTTCCTGGGAATCTTCATTCTGAAGACAGAATGGGCAGTCATGCATAGGGCAGCCCTGCTTTAATCGGTATTGCTGCAAGCAATCCGCGTGGCACACGTGCGAGCAAGAGTCTCGGCTCGGGGAGCACAAGTGTTTTTCCGCATCGTCTGCGAAACCATCTCCACAAACTTCACACGTGGCCATGTCTAGGAAGCTAACTCCTACAACTTGAACTTGATGGCGCGGCTTGGGTACCGGAGAGCACTTGTCAATGCGTGGTATCATGGTGATATTTGTCGGATTTGCCTTTGCAGTCCCAAGCGTGATATCGACTCCATGCAACCAAACTGGCTCTCATGCATGCTGCGCTGCGTGGACAGCCGGAACAATGTGAAAATGTTCACATGCCCTCCACATCTCTCAGTTTCAACACTTCTGTAGCGCGCAGCGAATTTTTTTAACCTCGCGACATGATCAAAAACTGCTTGGCCTAGTGTACAAAAGGACTGCTTTCTGGAAGTTTCTTGCGATTGAGAGCACAATATCGTCCGTGCCATTGAGACCCACAGGTCGCAGTGGACGAAGCCAGGGCGGCGCTAATCAGGTACGGATAATTTGCGGTCTGCGGCCTGCAGCGTCTGCAAACAAGATTCTTGCAACGCTTGAACCCGAGCCTCAGTCCAATGAAATCTTGGTTTTGAAAACAACTCCCAAGCCCATAGCGGAATGTCTGGCGGCAAATTTTCAGGCGGACGTTCTTGATCAACTTGACTGTACAGGTGCCAGTATAGACAAGCAAGAGACGAACATTTTGCTCATCCAGCGCCCGCGGCAATGCAAGGTCAACTTCAACACCCGCAATGGGCTCTAATGCACCTGAACGCCAGCGTCTACATACGTTTGGTGGAGCATGCTGCGGGGAGATGACATCCTCCTCGTCACAGGAAACTATAACGAGCCCATCATCTCCGTGTAAATCACGCTTGTAGAGCAGGCGAATCCGCTGCACATCTGCCCGGCCGCTGCCATCTCCAGACCGCCTTGGAGGGTCAAATTCCAGAGCATCCAGCTGCAACCAGGTGTCAGCGCATTCAAAGCATACATTCTCTGTGAAGCCAAAGGCTGCAGCTAAGGTCACACCCTCCTGCCAAGGGAGCCACACACCAAACGGAGCCATGGATCGCACACCACAATAAAAATTGTCCAGCCAAATTCCATACCCAGCATCACCGGGGGCAGGCATCTTGCGGCGTCAGCAGAAAGGGCGCTGCGTTGCCATTAACATAGGGCTAGAGGCTTTAAAAGGGTGACTCTGATGCTGCTTGTGTGTGATTGTGTTGCATTAATAGATTCAATGACTCAATGATATACTGTCCTGACATTGCCCGGCTCCGAGAACACAGGTAGACAGAACTAATTCAGTCGCGGAATCCAAAAGGAACGGCTCTCATCTGCGCGTGGGGCCGCGTGATGGGTAATACCTGAAGCAGCTCGTTCGGCCAGGTGCGCCCGCAAACGCACTGGCACAACGGATCGCACCGAGTGATCAACTGTGCATGAAGTGGCCAAACCTAGCTCTGCATTGCCAGCCTGCCAGCGAGCTGCCAAAGCTGCATTCTCGCGCAAAGCTCTGCCTTGATCTCCTTGTGTTTCCCCCGGTTGCTTCTGGAACGGCAAGCCTAGGCATGCAAAGCTACATAAAAACAATCTGTTGCGGGTCTCTCTTTAAAGGATGGCAACATGTTACAAAAAATCATCGAGGCCAAGCCACTCGCTCTACGGCGATCATTCGCACAGTTGGCAATCTGGAAATGTAAGCCGACATCTTTGAGCTCACTCCATCTGCATGTGCGGGTCTCTGTGTATTTGGCTTTGAGGACGGTTCGTCCTTGAAAAGTTGCCTGCTTCAATGGAACCACATCAGCCAAAGGAATTTTTCTGCTTGTCCGTACACTCAGAATGAACACTGGCTGATCGTCCCGGAAAGCAAAGAGACCTCCTCTGGGCTGCAACTGTGTGACTTTGCCATCAGTGTTGTCAGCAGCTCCAACGTCCTTCCTGCTGCCACCCGTTGGGCAAGACTGCAACGGTCAGGTCCCCTCTGCGGGCTTGTGCTGGCCTGCAAGGCTTCTGATGCTGGTGCTTTAGCCAACTTCGGCTTTTGCAAAGGGCTGCGAAGAAGCAGCCGGCGACGCTTGGATGCTGTGAAGGAAACTTGAGCCGGACTGCCGGTGTTCCCGGCGTCAGAACGGCGCTTCCGCTTCTTGCTTTTCCAAGGCGGCTGTGTGAGCTTCTGGCGCTTGGCAGCGGGTCCCTCATCTTCTGCAGTTGGCCACAAGGAATCCCAGAGGCGGTTGCTTCCTTCAGCTTCCCTTGCATCTCTCCTTCTTTGACATGCCAGACAACTTGCTTCCCCTTTTCCCATCGAACTGGGGATCTGAACTCTATGGCAACAATCTCGGGGACCAACGGCAAGGAGGCACAGACCCATGGGTTTTCAACCTTGCTGGCTTGAATCACCTTCCCTAGGCACACCATCCCAACCACGCAACTTTTGGACAAAGAAGCTTCCTCTGGCGCATCCGGCCATGTCTGGCGCAAGGCGGCCGAACATTCGGGGGGCAAGCTGTTGATTGACTAACGGCCCACGTGAAAATAGTACCAGCCAGCTGCCATCCGCCTCTTCCGAGATTCTATGCGTTTGGAACCTCGCAGCATAGCTAAGGCAACCTGCGGCCCCTGAATGGTGAAGGCTCGCCGAGTCGCTTGCGCTTCGTCGGCCATGGTTTCAAAGGAGAGCTACAAGGTTGTAAATGACAATGATGATCTTGTTCACAGCATGAACACGTACATCTACATATCAGCTCAATGTCACGATGTCTACGTCAATCGCCCGGCTCGGAGAGCACAGGTTGACAATACTGGCGCAGGTGCCTAAATTTGAGCCCAACGGATGAAGATAGGCGCAAACAAGCAAATGCTACACCACACTGTAGTTAAAAAGCATGAAGTTCTCTGAGCACGCAGGGCAGCTGCAGCGGACAGTGCATCTGAGGGATTGAGAGGATGTCCCGACTATTTCGACCACTAGATTACCATTGCGCCCAGCTTCCCATCGCAAATTTTTACACCATAGCAGGCTGTTCCGCAGGCCTGTTTGTCTATACCATATGTCCAAGTTTGTGAAGATGTCTAATTTTGCCGCAGCTGCAGTAGCAACATTATAATGGCCACTGCAACTAGAAAGTGGCAAACGCAGATTGCACTGCGGAGCTGTCCCCGCCTCCATCCTGCGCTCCCCATGTAACAATGGATCCATTGTAGCGCACTGCTGCAAACGCTTTGGCAGACCCATGTATGAACTTGACATCCGTTCAGCAATTGGCAAAGAACCCTTTCAAAGAGGGTGTGACTTGCCGGACTTTCTCGTATCACAGAACTATCGCCCCCCAAGGTGGCCTTTCCCCAGGTGACAGGCGACCCTTCCTCCGCGACAGCTGCAAATGCATAAGGGTTGGCCTGAAAATTACAATGTCTTGAAGTCGGTCTTGGACCATCGAGCTGTCTCCTCCATTACTAGGGTCTCCCCAAGCAACCACGGACCCATCCAACAAAATGGCAGCGAATGCAGTATGCGTGCTGTGAATCTGCGTCACTCCCTTCAATTTGGCTTGGACAGCAGAACTATCTCCGCCACACGACGGATCACCCCAGGTGACGACAAACCCATCATGACGAAGGGCGGCAAATGCGCCCTGGGCAGCTGCAGTCACGCTTCTCACATCATAGAGCTGCTGCCGTACCATTGCAGTATCAGCAACCATCTTCGGCAAGCCCCAGGTAACAACAGATCCGTATGATGTCACCGCGGCAAAAGCGCGGCCGCTGGCAACGATCTGCACCACTTTGCGCAGGCGCTTGCACACACCAGAGCTGTCGGAGCCGTAGGCAGGATGCCCCCATGTCACTACACGTCATTGTGACACCACAGAGCAAAGGCTTTCCAGGTTGAAGCGAGACAAGGGAAACGCGCGACACATGTAACGCAGTGTGCGCTTGCAGCCGAAGGAATCATACCATCGACCCGCAACACCGCACCTCGCGCGTCCAGGATGACCAAGAACTGTTGATCGAAGCATCGCTGCAAAATCTCTTTGAGTTCCTGAACCTTGGCTGATACTGCTAGCGTGACAGTCTGCTGTTTCCCACTGGGCAGTACCGCAGTTATGTCTTGCGTTTCCATGGCGGCCAATGCAGCGAATGTATTTGTCTAAGTCAATTTCCCGGCTCGG